AGCCTTCTTTCACATCAGGTGAAGCAGCACAAAAGCTGTTACAGGTGGTGAGGAAGAAAAATGCTGCTTGAACAGCAGCCATGCAGGACTTGATCCTGGTGAGTACCCCACAAACTCTGGGCACACTCAGGAACGCAGACTCAGGGCTGTTGCACCAGAGTCTGAGGAGTCAAGTGCAGGGAATCCAGTGGCATTTCACCGCCAAACAGATTCCTCACAGATTGTTAACTACAGAGAGTGTGGTCAGAAACAATCATCACAATCAACCAGCTCATCTCTGTATTCCAGAGATCAACCAGGAATTCAGTTGAACCAACAGCTGTATCAGCTGGAAACTCCCAGTAGGCCCTCTGGGAACCATCTGCATCCAGTAGCTTTCAGGGGTGGGGGCATCTTAATAGGTCCCTCACCCTTGAGGAGAGGAGTGGCTAATAGTGTGGCCCTCACCAGGCAGTGCTCTGATTGTGACAAAGGGACCTAGTCAAAGTCTCCCTCACCTTGGGCAATTCTGGCTAACTGAATTAAAAATAACCAACCAACCAATTCTATTTGTGAACCTTTGGATCATAAAAACAAGACATTTTTGAACTGTTGACAGTGGTGTGCTACCTTGTTGCTTTGTAGAGTCGGTCAGTGGCTATCAAAATGAAGATCATGAAAAGTGATCTCAGCAGAAAAGAAAGAAAAGAGTTTAAAAGTGGGAGAAAAGCCATGGTGAGTCAGAATGGCTTCTGATTACAGTAGGAGGAATGGGAGCCAGTGACAGTTGTCCCAGCATGCCATTTAGCTATCAGGATAGTAGCTGACACTGACTGTGGCTCATCAAGAGCGACAGCACTACAGGCACCACAGTGGACTGTCATCCAAGTTTGCATGACACACCAAGCCACCGCGGGTGAAACAAATCCTTCCACAGAGCTTTGGTTGTGGCTTGTTAGGGGAAAAAAGCCACCTGGGCTCAGACAACACAAGTAGTTCGCCATTGTCATATCATGCAAACTAGGTTCACCTAGCACTATGTTCTAAAACTATTTTTGTTATTTCTGGCAAAGCTATACATTTAGCAGTAACCATAAGAAAGCAGCTTGTGTTTAGACTTGACTTAACAAATGATGGGAAATAGCATATATTTTCTCTGGCGTTTGTTATCATACACACTCTCAAACATTTCACAGAACAATTTAAACCATACGTATCTTCTCATTGCAAGTGGTTAGACTTGTGTTCACAATCAAGGAATTACAGGAGCTGATGAAATCCAACCTAACTGTACTACAGTGTCTATTGGCATTCAAACAAGACCACCAACATCTTTGAAACAGAAACACTGGGAATTAAACAAACTCCAGGTCCACCATTTGTCTTTGAAAGGGGCAAAGTGGCTATTTAGCTGAACTGTATTTTGAATGTGAACATATTTCACTTGTCAATTAAAAGTCAGCAAATATTCTTTCAAAAAGAAAATTGCCCCAGGGAAGAAGACAGATGGGAGTGGATTTAACTCATCACAAAACGAGTTGAGTATTCAGTGGAAAAAGTCTGTAATATTTCAAATGAAACTTCTTTAGGAAAGGAAGTATTTTAAGACATATTCCTGAGGTAGGACCAAAACAATTTATAAGAGTAAGTGTTCAGTTTTAGCCAAAGAAAGACCAGTAAGTGAAAACTGGTCTTCACCTGCAGGCAAGCCTGTAATACGATAGACCATGGGTGAGAATCTGTTGGGGGCCCGGGGGCCACTCTCCCTGGATCCCCTCATGGGTTGCACTTCTAATGCCCTCTGGAGATCTTCCCATATCTCGCTGCGATGGCAAATTAATCCACGAGCCATGATGGGGTGGTAGTTTTGACCTGCCATTCTGTAGTGATAAAGGGATTGCGGGGGGGGGGGGGTAGCACCACAGCAGCGGCAGAGGAGGTGGGGCTCCTGTGTGGCCACATGGAGTGCACTGTTACAGAATCCTCATACAAGCCAGCAATTCTTCTCAGCAATTTCAGATTGGGAACTAAGGATGTGCAAGCATGACTTACCTCCCAGCTTGTACAGGCTGTCTGTAGCAAAGGTGAACATATCCAGCATGTGAAAGCATGAGAAGGGTCACATCCCCCAAAAGCAGGAGCAGCCACAGCGACAAGGTCAAGAACTGGGGTTGGCCAACAGATACTGGCTTCTGAAGTTAAAATGTCTAGAACTACTCTGGTTGTCAGTAAAAGAGTATGTAGCTTTATAAGACTTGAGAAATAGTGTTTCCTACCATATGGAAAAATCATTAGATCATGCTTTTAATTAGTTAATTGTGTTGATAAAGTTGCAAAATCTGAGCAGCACAGACATTTTACTTCAGGCATGAGAACTGAAGGGCTGAATTGTAGGGCTGAATTATGCACATTAAAGCACATATTACATTATCCGTGTTGTCTTTTTAAAGCATGGAAATCCATGTCAGGAGAGCAATTGGAGTTCAAGAAGCAGCACGTAGTAGGAAGACTAAATGGCTTTATTTATTTGTTTATTCATTTATTATATCTGTAGCCCACATTTTTTCTTTCAAGGAGCTCAAATGGCTTACACAAGTCTCTTCATCTCAATTTTATCTCATGTAGTCAGAGAAGGTGTACTGAAGAACACTCCTTTGCAAAAGTTCTTACCTATTCATCTTTTATTACCTTTACACCTATCACTGTTATCTTAAGAATTTTTACCATTTTTCAGTTGAGTTTCCATCTTGATTTATTAAAGTCAAGATCACCTGATGCAAAGCAGAAGTTGTAACCTGAAGTTTAGCCAAGAGCAAAGTATTGGCACAGTGGAAATGATGGGAAGGCAACTAGTGTAAAAGGAAAGAAAATAGATAAAGAGGTTCCAAAGAGTGAAACAAAAAATAGTAATTAAAACCAGAATGTTTAAAAGCCAGCAATGAAAATGCAGTAAAAAGGAGATCAGAGAAGAGGAGGAAAAGCAGAAATGGGAGAATAAGGAGACATCATCACATCCCACAGTTAACAAACCATGGGTTGGTTAGTAGATGGATACAAGTGAACATCCATGGTGATTCCTGGCTGCTTGACTGCTTCTGAATTGTCTGAACCTGACATTCTGGGTTGATAGAGAACAAATTACTCAACTTTGGATCCCATGATTAAACCATAGGTTCAAATAATGGTTTGTTTGCAGTAAGAGTAGGTGGACAAGCAGGAACAAGCATGCATGCTTGCTCCTACCTGTCTTCTAACCAACCCGCAATTAGTTAACTGTGGGTTGTTACGTCTGCACACAGCAGAAACCGGGAAGGGGGGGGGAGCCTAGTTCACTTAAACCACTGGCCCCATATGAGCCATGACAAGCCTTGCAATGTCCCCACCCTACCCCTTCACAGTCCTTTTGTCCCAGCAGGCAAAGGAAACAAGGAGTTACTTTCTGATTTTAACTGTAATTTAGGTTTATTCAAGAATGCTGTCAATCTGGCTCAAACTGTGGATTGCCTAGATCTTAATCCAGGCCTTCTCTAACTCCTGGTGCAACTTTTTTGGACAGGCAGGGTTGGCAAACAGCAACAGAAACCATCCAGTTTAATGGTTTATAGTTAACAGGGCAGCACACTGGACATTGTCCATCCCAGGCAGTGCCTCCTTTGTATAAAACAAGCATCTACATCTGCTATTCTAGTGTGAAATGACCATGAGCTTATTCTATGAAGAATCTCCTAGAAATCCAAATTTTTGCTAAGTAAGGAAGATGGGTGTGCTCAGAAATATGAAGCAGTCTGGTCTGGATCACACAGTGAGCTTAACAGAGCAGTATCTTCAATGAGCAGCTGAAAGTGAAGTCAAACAGCCTCTGTTAGGCTGCAGCAGTTTGCCATTCACAGACCTGCATTCACCGTTTTGTTCCGAACTGTTGCAAACTGATGGTCACTGTTTATTTTTAAGTTCAAAAACGTCCCCTAAACCCCACCCTCAAGAAGCTTAATATGCTGTTTATTGGTAGAGGATCCAGGGCTGCAGGTAAAAGCCGTTAATCCCCAGCAAGCCGCTGGGCAGGCTAACAGTCAAATATGACAAAAGTTAATTGGAAACATGAGCAGCGTAACAGAAGACCTACTTGCCGTATTTGGGATGTCATGCCTTCACAACAGAAAGTTTGTAAGGAGTAACTTTAGAAAAGAAGTGGCTTTCGGGAGGTGAGTAAGCAAGTGTCATTTTTAAGTTCTCTCATTAGAAAATGCAGGGAAGTGACTTCAAACGAACAGAATAAGAAAGAAATTTGAACTCACCAAGAGATCTTTCTCAGCTGGCTCGTCTTAATTCCATCTGGTTTCAGTTATGAGATAAAGACATATCATGTACGATTGCTGCCTGAATAAGGAGATGATGAGCTTTCATTTGTAGATTTTGGTTTTATTCTGTTTTTAAGGAGACTTGGAAATTAAGTGTGCTGTTATCGGAAGGATCTTCTGAATGTGTGTGTGTGTGTGTGTGTGTGTGTGTGTGTGTGTGTGTTTTAGAGGTTTGCTCCATGTCACGTTTTGGGAATGTTCCAAGAAGTAAACTTCAACAGTATGATTTTTTTCTTTAAGTGTAAAGCAGACGGTTTTGGTCTGAAAGATTTTCCTTTCCTAGGTAATAGTTTTTCAGTGTTTTCTGAACAAGGATACTTTGGCATACACTGAGTTCATGCATTTGTTTGAATGAAGTTGCTGTTAGGCAGCACCTAAAATTACATTGTTGTTTCTGCAACAACAGGAAACAGCCAGCCTTATGCCTGTTTTAATGGGTGATGATCCGATCAAGCTACTGCTCTCCCAACCCCCAGGAAACAAATATTACACTGCTCTTGCTTCAACTGCAATACTTTGATGTGTAGAAGCAACATAAAATGTTGTTCAAATATTACTTAGCTGCTGTTACATTCCAGCCTTTTGACTCTGAAAGCAACCTGTGCTTATATAATGATTTTCCAAAGTAAAAGCATCAAAATTCTCTTGTACTTTTCTTCGCAGAGCCAGCAGACAATTTAGCCTCCCAGCCCACAGGAATGAATGAAAATGCATCATCTTCAGTCCAAAGTAGCAGTAGCAACAACGCTGCCAGTTGCAATAACTCCTCAGCCATCCCCCAGCCCAACTCTGCCGTTAAACCTTGGCGCAGCAAGTCACTGAGTGCTAAGCACACAGCCACGTCTTCCATATTAACAGTGAAGCAGCAGGTTCAAGAGCCTCCAAAGCCCCCTCCAGAAATGGTCAAAACAACTCCCAATGGTCAGAAATCCATGCTTGAGAAACTGAAACTCTTTAATACAAAAGGCGGCTCTAAAGCAGGGGGGTCGTCCCTTGAATGTCCAGGGTCTCGGGATACTAGTTGTGAAAGATTAGAGGCCCTCCCTACCTGTGAGGAGAGTGAAGAAATGGATGCTGTAAATCGGAACAATCCAGGACCAACTTCTAATAGTCCCAAAATTGCACTCAAGGGAATTGCACAAAGAACGTTTAGTCGGGCGCTGACAAATAAGAAGAGTTCCCCAAAGGGCAATGAGAAAGAAAAAGAGAAGCAGAAAGATAAAGAAAAGGAAAAAAGCAAAGACATTGCAAAAAGAACATCTGTAACTGAGAAAACGGATATAAAAGAGGAGCTGAAAGAAGAACAAACTACACCAGCTATGACAGAGACGCCAAAAAAAACCTCCAAGATTGCAAGCTTTATCCCTAAAGGAGGAAAGCTTAACAGTGCCAAGAAGGAGGTGACTGCCCCTTCACACAGTGGAATACCAAAACCAGGGATGAAAAACACCACAGGGAAATCCTCAAGTGCCCCAAGTAGTTCTGCAAAGGAAAGCGAGAGAAGCCGCAGTGGGAAACCTGCCCCAGGTCTCTCTCATCAGAAGCCCCAGCTGGACAGCAGAAATTCAAGTTCCACATCAAGTTTGGCCTCCTCTGAAGGGAAAGGAGCAGGGGCGGGGCCTGCTTTGAGTACTAGCACTAGCAGCCAGGCTGTCAACGGGCCAACAAGTAGTACCACACAGACCACAGCAAGCAATACTGTGAGTGTTCAGCTACCTCATCCACAACAGCAATACAACCACCCGAATACGGCCACAGTAGCACCATTCATGTACAGGTAGGCACCCCTTTCTGAGTGTGTTGTGCCAGATACAGCCCTTCAGTACACTCACATTCTTTTGTGCTATGGGAAGAGTGTGAAGAAAAACACACCCTATAATAGTCATTTGACCATTGGATGATTTAAAAATCCATCTTGGTCCTGCTATGCTTCTGTCCCTCTTTTTTGGATAGTGCAACATGTACATGGTTTTAAAACCATGCTGTGAAAAGAGAAATGCAACCATCTATACATAATAATAATAGACTAAATGTATAAGATCATGGTTAGTTATCTGTCTTCAGATACGGACATTTCTTAGTAGTAGTATCTAACTACTCTGTTTTAAATGCAGTTTAAAATATCATAAACAGAATCCAAGGGTAATCACTGTTTTTGACTGTCTCTCTAAACCATGGCTAGACATCTTGTTGCCCTTCATATGTTTTGGCCTTCAGCTCTCATGTTCTCTCACCATTGGCTAATCCAGCTAGGACTGAAGAAAGTTGTAAGCCAAATGTCTGAGAGGCCTCAAGTTACTTAACCCTGGTCTAAACCATAGTTTAGCAAAATGTGAATAAGCCACATTATATACTCCAGTCTTCCCTTCTCAAGCCAAGAAGATGAGTTTAGAAGCTTTTGCTTCCACTGCTGTTTAACCACAACATGTGTTGTCCAGACCATCATTCTGTGGACAACATTATATATGGTTAGTTTCAAACCATCTAAATAACTAGCTGTGGTTAATGAAGATGGCTTGTTGAAATTAACAACAGTTCTGGTCTGTATGACACACCAAGCTATGATTAAGCTAAAGTGTAAGTGAAAGCTTATGAATTCCTTATATTAGGTGTACAGGCAGAAGGGAAAGGGGGGAAGTGTGTATGCCTAGGACTTGCTGTGACATGCTCACATTGGCCTAACCATGGTTTAGCAAGATGATCAGAACTAGCCACTGACTGATTGTTGCTTTAAAATTATTTTTGTTACACAGTGGCAACTGAGTTTATTTATTATGGAGGACCAGATAAGATATCAATGTACTTAAAGGATAGTAAATAAAACAGTAGAAGACCATGACTTTTCTAGTACTTCACCTTTCTGAGGGACTTTATTTGATCTTTTACAAGAGAGAGAGAAAGACCCTTCTAAAATCAAAAGTAACTATAATTAAATACTCCTTTAATGATAATTCAATACATGATACAATTGGTGTTGGTTCACATATCATCCTGGTAACAACAGGGCTGCACAACAAGAATTGGCTTATGTCCTTTACATATGGCAGGGAGAGTGCATGGGCCTAATGACTTGTCATTCATAAAATATACATGCCATAACTTTGTGTGAACAAATCTACAGTGTGTGAATCAGCCTATAATCCTCTGCTGGAAGAATAACATTTGAGAGTTTCACAGAGCTTAATATGGAGCAAGAACTAGTCAGCAGCTTTCATTAAAAGCTTAATCCAGAATTCTTTTCTTGACCCCAGTGTATCTATGACTAGCAGCCACTGGTACTTCACAGTATGAATATGCAGAGATAGACCCTTATATCTCAGTTTATGCATTTTCCCAAGACGGTACTGGAGTAAAATGATAGAAGAGCAGTATGATCCCTCTCCTGTGCAGATAGCTTGCAGTGTAGATTCGGCTTCCCATTGGGCACCCATTGAAATGGAGGTTCTGTTTATGTTCTCTTTCCGCACATTTTTAAAAAGGAAGAACCACATGGAGTAGGGTATTTATGTTGGATGGATGTGGTTCACACTGTAGGCTATGCATATGGCGGAGAGTGGAGGCTTGGACCATGCTTCTGGAATGTCACCAGATACTCTTTTCTACTTGCTTCTGGCCTTGGCCTTTGCCTAAGCCACCTCATCTGCTTGTTGTGTGTGGCTAGAACAGGATGTATTTTCAAGGAAAAATGAGATGACTAAAGGAAACAAATGTGTAAAAAAGACCAGCTGAAACAAGAAGTCTTCATTTCCTTCCATAGCATGAACTCCGTTATCATCAGTGATTGCTGGTGCTTGTGCCACCAATAAGGGTGTTGATCTGGCTGAAGACTTACCTTAAAACTGAAGGCATTTGAAGGCCAGTCAAGGGCCCACAAAGCCTGTATTTCACAGTGACTATTTCATATTTTCTTTACAGTTCAGTGCTTGTTTCCATTTCTAGGACATAGCGCAACATGGGACTAATGAATTATGTAAAGTCAGTCTGCTAGTGTATCCTGGGGAGAAGATACAATGCTAGATGGCAAGTGCTGCTCTATTGGTGCTGGAATTCTTTTTGGTGTATGAATGACTAAATTTTCCTTTCTCTGTTTTATACCTAAGATCCCAGACAGACAATGAAGGTAATGTAACAGCTGAGCCCAGCACTGGAGGAGTGAGCACAAGCATGGATCCTGCTCCTTACACTAAAACGGGACAGCCTATTCTAGAAGATCTTTCTGGTAAGACATGGGATGCGTTGGATCTGTCGACCCTCTTAGTACATAAGAATAATAAATGAGGCTAAAGGAGACTCAGTATCTCCCTCAGTAATGGGAGGAGGTTAGAATGCACGTTTATTCTTAATCCTTCATTCCAGTGTCTCTAAACAGCCAAGTTACTCAGTGTCCTCATTTCTGATAGAGAAGCTGCACAGAGTCTTACAAGTCCTAAAGAATCAAGCATTCACTGTTGCATGGAATTTTGATTAGTATTAAGGTCACTTTTTTGTAATTCAGCAATCCAGGAGAAGTTGCAGTTTATTTTTAAACTGAAATTTCACTTTATGGAAATTTCAACTTTTCTTCCTGTTGTGTCTCATTTTTTGTTTTGAATTAATAATGTGGTTTGATTTTAATTTTGTTCAATTTTGGATCCCTAATTCTAATCTGAAAACCTGAAATTGGAGCATTAATGTAAACATTGACTGAATTTTCTTTATTTGTGGAATTTTTTTGGCGTTAGATTGCTTTGATTCATTTATATTAGTAACTTTCATTCAAAGGTCTGAGAAAGAAAATCAAATGAGTATATATGCTTTATGCACACAAACTCTGAAACTAATTACTCATGTACACTGTGTTGATAACAATAGTATGATGTACTTATGTGCAAACCTCATATTAATTGCTTGCCGCTCATATTTCTTCAATACAGTTCCTAAGTTGAAAAAACAAATCAGCATTTTCCAAAAGGGTTGCGGTTAACCCCAATTTTCTCTTTGGCAAAAAGATGGTATAAAAATGAACTTCTTATGTATAAAAACTCCTTGATACCTAAGAGATAAAACCTAAGTAAGCAAAGTGGAAGAAAATAGGAGTGGCTTTACCAGGCTTTTCAGAAGTTCTTGTAATCCCCTGCCATTGAAAATGACCTATGCCAATTCCAGGTTATTGTAACTGAGGACCCAAGGGAAATGGAGGAGCGTTGGATAGACAGCCCAAAAGCCAACATCATCCAGTGCTACAACTCTTTTTGTAGGGCCTATTTCTGGTGAGGACACTGCTAGTGGTAGATTTATGCCGCCAAACCTCTTTTCTGGCTTGACTGGGACCTTTAGCTCCTACCACATCAGTGGAACTTTACTCTCCTGAGGAAGGGCTAGTCTACCATATCCTAATGGCCATCATCCATGACATCTGGTTATAAGGCTTGTTCTGCCATTACTTTATGTGAACTAGAATGTATATGTTGTATATGAGTTATGATATTTATTTACATGCTAGAACAGATATTGCCACAATGAATGGTTGAGAATTACATCTTTGACAGGAATATAGGAAGAAGTCCAGCAGCCTGTAACTAGCCCATTGCATCCCAGAAGCACAATATCTGGAGTATGGAGGCAATAGTTCTTCAGTGGCATACTGCCTTCAAACGTGGATCTTACATAGATAGCCATAATCACTGATAGCCACGGATACTTCCTTCACTTTGTTCAGAATATTGTTGCCAAATATGCAGTTGCTGATGGTGGCAACAATGGTGAAGTTTTCAGTAGGAAGACACCAAAAGGAAATTACAAGAGAACAATAAATACAAATTGAAATTCATTACTTCAGTGTCTGTATCATTGACTAGAAATGGTTCACAAAATATTCAGGTCATTAGAGACCATGGAAAGTCCTGGTTAGACAGAAACAAAAAGTGGAAAAGGAAAATATTGCATGTATCCTCAGCCAGAGTGCTTCAGGAGTGGTTCTGTTTTCCTGCAATCATCAATCCAAGAAAATGCATTTACAGTGCTCAGAAACTTCTGCTTTCCTTGATGGGTAGAAGCAAGCATCTTTCTAGATAGAAGGCATGGTTTCCCACAATTTAGCCTCACAAACTTGGCAAGTCTTGTGTGCTGGACTAAAGTATACCACATTTTTAGACATCCTTTCTTTGTGAGTCATGTAGTCCAAGCTACTTTAGTAGCTTGGGATAGTCCAAGCCAGGGGTCTCAAACTCGCGGCCCGTGGGCCAATTGCCGGGACGGGCGGGGCATGGGGGAGGGGTCCTGCAGCCTTCAAAGCGCCGGTGGCGCCCGGACCGGCCGCGGGATGAGCGGCCCACCACCACCATGGTGGTGGAATACTAGATGCGGCCCAGCCTCACCCAGACTCTACTTTCAGCGGCCCCCAGGTAAGTTGAGTTTGAGACCCCTGGTCCAAGCTATCCCATCTCCAAGGGATAGGAGATGATCTGATTCTTTCATAGACAACTTATGTTTCATCTAAGTCAACTGAACAGTGTCAGATGTTTAGTAGTATGTCTTTCCAAGACATCATCTTCAGGCCATTTTGTGCATTCAATTGCTATGATGTATGGTTGATAGTGACATATGAGAAGGTATTTTCTGTATTGCTAACCACTACCTCAGCAGGTGACATGGTATCCTACTTTGCTGATATTCTGTTGCTATTTGACCATTTTTCTTTCGTCACCTTTATTAGCTTATTAGTTTTAGGTATAATTCAGGATTTGGGGTAGGGGGAAGTTTTTGGGAGCAGAAAGCCCCAAAGGAACAAGATTCCAAGAGCATAGAAAATAAATATTTTCCAGTTTTCTTGAAATCATTCCTGGCTACATAGCATTAATTGGCTCAGGCTCAGAGTTGTATCAAACTCAAAATTTCTTTCTAGATGAAATCATGGAGGCTTCTGAAAAGTTACAGAGTTATAAATAACTTGAAGCTCTTGAAAATTCCTGAAATAGTCTAGGCAGACAATGTGTATAGCCTCATATGATATATGATATCAATCCCTCCCTCCAAGTTCTGGAGCAATACTAAAAACTGTTACTAGTTGGAAGGAGGCCAGTTCCAGTCTTTTCATCTCATCTCATTTCGTATATCAGTTTTATAGCTCACACTCTCAACATTTTGTGGTTCAGCTGTCCCCAATCTTCTGTAGATCCTGGAAGTTACCACATCTTGGGCTTTAATAACAATTTATTCTTTTTTAAAGTGAACATAAATATACTTTGGTATACCAGAGTACTGAATACCATACTGCTGAGCATCCCTGTTTAACTTCTTAGCTGACAACCCAAGTTTGGTATTAGAAGGAATCATAGTATTGGTATCACACCCAGTGGTACACATTCTTTGGGCACTCCAATTTTTACTTCCCCACGTTGTGGAAACTGCCTCTTTTCTCCTACCCCATGCTTTCTATTCTTTAACTAGTTGCTGATGTATAACATGAGTAATTCTTTTATCCCACAATTGCTAACTTAGAATATGGCAATGACAAAACTTAGCTTAACTTCCTTCTGAAAGGATGCCTATGGAAGGTGGTCGATGCTGGGGTTAACCATATAGTAAGCAGTATAAACAATACTCTCACCAAGCTGTAGTGCTTGTAGCTTATGATGAGCTATGAGTAGTTTCTAGGTGTCAAAATGGCTTCTAGTCATATGTTAACTTTACTACTGTAGCATTTGCATTGGCTTCCTTTTGCCTCTTAGGCAGAACTTAAGTAGCTGGTTTTTACCTAGGTAGTTCTAAATACTTTCCCATCATTACATCTAAGCTTACTTTTTTTCATGTTCAATCACAAACTGAAAAAACCAACCTTTCAGCAGCACCATTTTGGTTCATGAATTTACCTAAGCTGAACAGAGAGGTTTTCACTGGATGGCTATTAGTTATTCAATAGTGCTCTTCTTAGAGAATAATCAAAGTCCCTGCTAAGCATCATTTACAGGACATACCTTATTACTCAATATGACCTTTGATTACAAGATCACCAGAAGTCTGGAGGTTCAGTATTGCTCTATTCATTTAATCTGATATTAACCTAATTATTATATATGTTTCATAAGATGCTTATAAGTCGTTTCTACACATCTCTAGATGAGTAGCAGATTGAGCTGTCTTTGATTGACTGGCTGTTTAATTAGATGCTCTCATCCTGGAATAGTTCCTAGCACCTTCTTTACGCAGAAGTACCTACACACAGAAACCCACATCCGCTTAATACAGCAAGGAAAGCCATATCGTTTACTTATAGTGGTGCCTCAAGTTATCCTCCAAACCTGGGTTATACATCTACAAAAGGCAAATAATGACTAACCTATATTGGTCCTAACTAATAAAAACTCAAAATATCTCTTAGTACACTGTTGTCTGTGATCCAACAATATTTGAAGTTGGAAAATCAATAGCTACACAAAGATAGGAAGTTATTTCCATTAGCAGACTGTTTTCAGAATAGTAGACCATTAACAAAACATTGATATGGGCCAGGTAAGCAGTAAAAAAAATGAATGAGATCCTGGGTCCTTGCTGATGACCCAGCTATCCTGTGACAAGGTCTCTTATCACACTGAGGTGCCTTCATTAAGCTGAATGAAGTTACATATTAATAACTCAGGCTTTACTTAAGTTAATAAACACATGAACATGATTTTTCACTTTTAATCTGTGATCCATTTCATGAATCTGATTGTGTTGTCCTTTCATTTAAAAATGTATTTGCTGCTTAAAGGTAATTTTTATAAAATGTTTCAATACTGTGTAACATTTATGTTTTAGTACAAAAACTAGAATGTAGAATAATATGCTAAGATACCTACTTGAATACCATGCAGGCACACACAAAAATAAAGGGTTTTTTTTTTTTTTTTTGGTTATTATCCCCTACCCCCAGCCCAAGTGAAATCACTGAAATACTCAAGTCTGGAAAAGCTATTCTGGACTTTTATTTTTAAATCAGAATACATGATAACATGAAAATGATCCATCATTTACAGTCCTTGTAATGGTGAAGATTAGTTTGTTCCCCTCATCAGAACTTGACTACTGACAGGCTAAAAATTTTTCAAAGCATGAGGATAGCTATTTGTTGTTAGCACCAAGTGGAAATATAATTTTGATAAGATGCAGGACTAATTTCATGGAGTGACAACTGCTTGTTGATGTTTGCAAAAGCCCAAAAGAGCTTTTGGGAGAGAAAAAGGGAGAGAAAAACTGCTGCAATTCTGTTATCGACACCTTTTACATGTCAACCATTTATCACTATAAACCAGTGGTGGCGAACCTATGGCACATGTGCCGCAGTGAACACACAGAGCCCTCTCTGTCGGTAGGTGAGCCAAGTTGTCCCAGCAGCTGAGCATTGTGTAACAGCGCACATAGGGGCCATGTGGATGCTTGGAAAGAAGTAGCGGTGCCAGGCGATGACGTCACGAGCTGCAATTCATTAGCCACGACTCATCTGAGCTTTCACATGACCAGTCAGTGTGCTGCCAGGATATATATATATATATATATATTTGGTTGGACTGGCTGTGAGTTGTTTTTTCTAAACTAAAACCTCAGTATTCAGGTTTTATTGCAGTGTTGGCACTTTGCGATAAATAAGTGGGTTTTGGGTTGCAGTTTGAGCGCTCGGTCTCTAAAAGGTTCGCCATAAGTGCTATAAATTATGACTCCTTACTATGCTCTTTTGAAATACATTGATCATTAAATAGGCAGCTGTATTGCAATCTTTGAATTTCTAATAAAAAGCTTCTGTAGTAGCTGTTTATTTCTAATCAACAGTTTTAAATTTCTACAGTCCTAAAACAAAAGTCAAAAGTAGACATGTAGGCAGTTTTTAAGTTTCATAGAAATTTTTCTGAAGTTGACGATTAAATGGAAAAGGAGGTGGGGGAAGAAAACAAAAGCAATACTGCCAATAGAAGGTATAGTAGAGGAGGACCAATCTACTATCTTAAAGTGGCAATTATGTGTGCAATCATATTCATGTTTGGGCAGCTAGCCATGCTGACTTGGAGCCATGAAAAGAGGGTCCTTTCTGTTGGGAATAAAGTCTAGTTGCTTTTTGTCTAAAAATTACATTCTTCTGTAGGAGAAGATCCAGAAACCCGTCGATTGAGAACTGTCAAGAATATAGCTGATCTTCGGCAAAACTTAGAGGAGACCATGTCTAGCTTACGTGGGACCCAGGTTTCTCACAGGTGAGAGTCATGAATTGCTTCTTTATTCAGGGAGAAGAAGAAATGTGTGTGCCTATCTTTCCTGTCATTGACTGACTGCTTTTGCCCCTGAGAAATGATTCAAAATGGTAATGGTGGACATTAGTTCCTCTTAGTGTATGATGTGCTTTATCCCATTTTTAAACTGGACTTTCAGATTTTGAACCTGGATTTATGATGAGGTTGTTTTGGCAGTGGGAGCAAGAGAAAGGCCTCTATATCAAAGCTTAGCTTTGGAGAAATGCTTGTTAAACATGTTATGTGATGACTGGATAGAAATGTGCAAAGGTTACTGCTTAAAATGTTTCTTAGGTTTACTCAGAGGTTTTAATGCATTTTAACTAGGTCTACAATATTGTGTTTAAACAAGCAGCTGAACTACATTTGACCTGTTTGATAAGGCACATAACTTAAATTCCTACCTGGCCTTTGGACAAATAGTTTTATTAGAAATATATGAATGTGCAATTTTTGATTGAAAAGCACTGTTTGGACATTTCCAAAATAGAAGAAAAACCATTTTGTTACAATGTAACACTCTATTTTGTTCTGGAGAACGTTTTGGGAAGAATATGACTTGCAAACACATTAAAGCCCTAATTTGGTTTGGCTTACAATGTTTTTATTTGTTTATTTAAATGATTTATGACCCGCTTTTCAGGCAATGCCTTCCAAGACCCTTCCATTTTCAGAAGAACTGCTTGTGCAGTGATGGCTGCTTCTCATGGAAGGAGGAAGAGGAGGCAACTTGTACAGATTCTCTCCTTGTTGCTTCTTCTGCGCCAATCTTCCCTAGCTTGTGGCCCATCAGATGTTTTGGATTTTAACCCCTCATCAGCCCCAGCATGTCCAATGATCGGGAATGCTGGGAGGTGTAATCCAAAATATCTGGAAGGCAGCAGGTTGGGGAAGGCAGCCTCTGATGTTCTAAAAGTTTCCCCAGTACTTTCAGTTGGCTGTATGGGAGGGGAAATCAGTCAAAAACACCTGTGCTTGTGAGATATCTGGATCTAACCCATAGATAACCCACATTTCTGATGATTAAAGGAGACTTTAGCTTAAAGCATACACAGAAAGAATGTGATATTCTAAGACGTTTATAGCTGTTTGATTTAAAATCAGTATACTAGATTTTAACAAGAGGTATACTGTGTTTCTGTTGAAAAGCTTTTCTTGTCTTGAGATAGGCCCATCTTCCACATTGATGCAATGAGCCGCATGTTGCCCAAATTCTCTGTAGGATTTCTCCACTGTGGATGAACATTTTGATTAAATCCCACCTCCATCTTGGGAGTGGCATTGTACTTTGTACAGTCAAATGTATTTCTGTTATCACAGTACTGCAGACCACAGATTGCTTATCACAAGGAAAGACTGTAAGGTAAAATTGTAATAAGGAAGGCAAGCCTAAACATATTAACTGACTTTGTCTACAGTCTGTGAAATATACCATGTCTTATTTTAATTTTCTGTATTTATGTAAAAAAATGGCAAGGGATTTCATTAGGCTAGCATCCAAATGCAGTTTTTGGTAAATTGGCTGAAGATATTTTTTAAAAAATTACATTGCAATTTCTATTACATATCCTATAATCTAGGACCATGCTTTCAAAAAACCAATTTGACCAGTGGAATAAGGCTGACAAAGCTGAGGGCCATCAGCAGCCGACAGTCACTGACCACGTGATTGTGGGTTGAATATAAATTTGGCTGTAGTGCCATACATAGGAGCATCCATACTGGCATATAAAATCCATTTAAAAGTATATGTAAAGGCAGGAATATGGCAGCATATGTCACAAAAAGGCAAGACAGAATCATGTGTGCTGGATATGTTGGCAAGGAAGCTCAACGGTCTAGCACATGCCTTGTGTGTGGAACGTCCCTTGGTATTACCAATTTAAAGGATTTCCCTGGAAGAGACCTTTGCTTTAGATGGAGAGGACTGGTTAGACTGGGATGCTATAAATTGGTGATCTGCAACAGCAGGGGGTTGGACCTGATGGCCTTCTTAGTCCCTTCCAACTCTACGATTCTATGATTCTAGACTAAATGGAGTGATGTAGCATCACCTGTTCTGATAGATTTCACCAATGCTGGATGGATCATACATGCCATAGGCACTGCCCACTTTCTAGAGTTAGTTCATGTTAATCAGCTATAGCTCTACATTTTGTTGAAGTGATACAATTTTATCACCCAGGAGGCCTTCTTTTGAAGTCATGTACAACATCCCCACCAAAAAAAATCCCACAAGTTTGATAATGAATGAGCCCTGCCCAAAATTTGGTGTGTTACTGATGTATACTGCAACTTAAATAATGTGTGTATTTAAAGTGTGTAGGACAACACAGATCACAGCTTTCTTCAGCAAGAGGGTTCATCCAGGATGCAAATGCTCTACAACACATGTGGAGCTGTTTAGTCTAACTGGTGCCCTTGGCTAAATCTATTTTCTTCTGAAATTGCCTCAGTATTTTTTATTTGTAATGTTGGGAAAGAAAATAATCTTTGCTACCAACAACAGGCATCAAGGTATTTATATGAGTTTTCCAACTTTTGCCTGAAATCTAAGTCAATGTTTATGTCTCTCATAACTTCAATCTTTTATTATTTAAAGCACCTTGGAGACCACCTTTGATACCAATGTCACCACTGAAATAAGCGGGCGCAGTATTCTCAGTTTGACGGGAAGGCCAACACCCTTATCTTGGAGACTTGGGCAGTCCAGTCCCCGTCTTCAGGCAGGTGATGCTCCATCTGTGGGTAATGGATATCCTCCAAGAGCTAATGCTGGACGGTTCATCAATACAGAATCAGGGCGTTACATGTATTCAGCACCTTTGAGAAGACAGCTAGCATCTCGGGGCAGTAATGTCTGTCACATGGATATCTCAGACAAAGCTGGAGATGAAATAGATCTTGAAGGCATCAACATGGATGCTACAGGCTATATGAGTGATGGAGATGTCCTGGGAAAAAATATAAGGACTGATGACATTACAAGTGGGTGAGTACCATCAAGACTGCTCATTTTTAGTTACATTGATACCCTGCTTTTGAATCAGAGTTAAAATCTATTACACATATTACATGAATATATTTATGGCATTTTAGCCCATAGTCTATGTTCCCTACAAAAGAAAGAAGCAGAAGAAACTGCAGGTGGTAATTTAAAATTTCATTTCTATACTGCCCAATAACTATAGTTCTCTTGACAGCTCACTAAAATTGTAAAACCAAAACATAATGTAAACATTGCCATACAAAATTTGAAACAACTTAAAACTTCTAAAATAGTTTGATGAGTTTCCACGACATGATAAAACTCATTATGCTGTCAGAAACTGTGAAACAGAGGACAATCTCAACCTGGCACCAAAAAAATGATGTTGGTGCCAGACAGACTTCTGTGAAGAGAAGATCCACAATCGGTCTCTCTCCCTTGTTGCCAGTTCATATTGGGAGAGGGGTCATGTCAGGTGTTGTGGTCCTGAGCTCTTTCAGGCTTTATAGGTCAAAACCAGCACCTTGAATCAGGCCCAGAAATGTTCAGGCAGCACAGGTAGGCTAGGGTTCTTGTTTTGTGTTCTTATCTCTTGGTCTCTTCTATCTGCCATAGAATCTGCCCTTCAACACATGCACTTCTGTTGAGTATCTCGGAGCATGGTAATACACTCAAGGAGCACGATGGTTCTGAAATACAGATGAGGGGTAAACACTTCCTGTCACCATTCTTTGTACCCCAAGCAAGGCTCTGTGGCACTGGGCATACCTTTCAAGTCAGTCCACTCTGCATATGCATAACTGTAGTTCAAGAGGGTCCCTGCTTGAGCTTAGCTCCAAAGTTCATTGTCGAGCGAGCTGTCATTATTGTTCTTGGTTTTGGCTCCTCCTGTGCCTCCCATGGAGGTTCTTCTGCAATGCTAGGATCTTTCACACCATAACAGGCTGAGTAGAAATTATTTATAAAATTTTAATGAACTTTGTAAATATTTTTATAATGTTAATACACTTGCAAAATCACTCTTACATCAGTACACTTGGTAACTCTAAGGCAGTGATGGCGAACCTTGTAGGGACCAAGTGCCCAAACTGCAACCCAAAACCCACTTATTTATCGCAAAGTGCCAACACTACAATAAAACCTGAATACTGAGGTTTTAGTTTAGAAAAAACAACATCTTTTGTCTTAAAAGAAAAACACAAAAACAGAGCTTTCAATGATACAAACAACTTTTTATTGAAAGGAAAATGTTTGCATTTCGTGTGCTTTTGCACAATTAATATGATCTTTGTTGTTGTATGCATGCTGATAATTTGTCAAACCTTGGCTCATACTTCGTTAGTTTGAGAGCAACACATGCAGGACTCAGGTCATCTGTTTATTTATTTATATTTATAACATTTTTATGCTCACCCCCCATCGCAGAAAGCCTCGGGGCGGCTAACAAAGCAGGATAAAACAAACATAGAATAAACATTAAAAATTCGGAGCATCTTTATTTATTGTATCATAAAACCAATAAATAAAAACAACGATAAACAATTAAAATAGCATTTAAATAGAAAGGTCTTGGTCTGGCGCCAAAAAACAAATAACGATGGCACCAGGCGGACCTCTCTGGGGAACGCATTCCATAGGTGGGGCGCCACCACAGAGAAGGCCCTCCTCCAGGTACTTACCCTCCTAACATCCTTCACAGAGGGCTTCCGGAGAAGGGCCCCCCCCGCCGATCTCAGGGGGCAGTAGGGCATATATGGACGCAAGCGCTCCTTTAGATAACCAGGTCCCAAGCCGTTGAGGGCTTTATAGGTGATAACCAACACCTTGAATTGGGCCCAGACTTCAATGGGGAGCCAGTGAAGCTGACGGAGGACTGGGGTTTTATGAGAACAACGTCCAGTCCCCGTCAGCAACCTGGCAGCTCTATTCTGCACCAATTGAAGCATCCGGACCATCTTCAAGGGCAGCCCCACGTAGAGTGCACTACAGAAATCTAATCAGGAAGTTACCAATGCATGTGTCACAGTTGGCAGGCAATCATTCTCCAGGTAGGGACACAGCTGATGGATCAGCCGAAGCTGAAGGAAAGCACTCCTCGCCACCGCTGTTATTTGAGCTTCTAATGACAGCTCAGGGTCGAGGAGCACTCCCAGGCTGCGAACCCTGTCCCTAAGAGGGAGTGCAACCCCATTCAGGACAAGGTCCAGGTCCCCTATCCCGAAGCCTGACCCACCTACCAACAGGACCTCCATCTTGTCTGGATTGAGCCTCAGTTTATTGGCCCTCATCCAGCCCATTACCTCAGGCACCGGTTCAGTACAACCTCTGGCTCACCTGGATTAGTTGAGAACGAGAGGTAGAGCTGGGTATCATCAGCGTACTGATGATTCCGCAGCCCACACCTCCTAATGACCTCTCCCAGTGGTTTCATATAGATGTTGAATAGCAAGGGAGACAAAATGAACCCCTGTGGAATTCCATGGCATAGCTGCCATGGTGCAGAGCCATAGTCCCCCAGCATCACCTTCTGGAATCGGCCATTGAGATAGGAACGGAACCACTGCAAAGCAGTGCCTCCGACTCCCAATCGCACAAGCCTATCCAGAAGGATACCATGGTCGATGGTATCGAAAGCCACTGAGAGGTCCAGGAGAACCAACAGGGATGCACTCCCCCTCTCTTTCTCCCTGCACAGGTCATCATACAGGGCGACCAAGGCAGATTCAGTACCGTACCCGGGTCTGAAGCTGGACTGAAATGGGTCCAGATAATCAGTTTCATCCAAGAGTGCTTGGAGTTGTCCCGCTGCCACCTGCTCTAACACCTCACCCAAAAACAGAATGTTGGCCACCAGTCTAAAGTTGGCAGCCACTTCTGGGTCCAGAGACACCTTCTTCAGGACAGGCCAGATCAC